TCTTTTTTATACATTTGTACATACAGATCCATAGAATGATGGTCTTACTAGCTACATAGTTTTTGATCTTATGAAAGTCGAGAGGAAGAGTTAAGCTTTCTAATGCACTTAAAATCGAGTGTTTTGAGGCAGATTTGACAAAGTTATAGGTGTTTTCAGAAATCAAAAGTTTCTCTAAACACTAATGAGCCAAATTTCAGTGCTTGTTACAGGTTGTAATTGGATGATTATGAAGGTTTATTGTTAGTACACTTATCAATACAGACTGTAAAAATATGGAAAAATATGGAGAGTGAAGCTCTCACCGCAGGGAACAAGATGCATATTTTTATTTATTTTTTGCCCTTCTCCTGGCCTCTCAATATTTTTGTGTATCAATAATTTAATTTTCTGCCCAGAAAATATTATCTTTCGTGTAGTGTAATAAGCTATCAATAAGTTCTATTACTGATGCAAAGTAGGATGCAATGCTGTTTGAAAGTCATTATATTCAGGATAAAATGATTGTACACATATTCAAATTTCCATACTTCTTGTCATTCCAAAAAAGATAATACTGAACCCAACCCAGTACTTGTGACTCTGACTGCCTGTAATAGATCTGTATTCATTCTCTATCCAGTGTGGCTTGACAATCTGGTTGGCCACTTGAAAATTCATCAATTTCAGCTTGTGACCACCTTTTGTTATTTTTGTCAATTTGATACAGACACTGATTTATAGCAAATCTTGTAAACGTCTGAGAAGACTTCTACAACCTGACAAATAGATGCGCTATATAAGCACCTCTTCTCCAAATCCAAGTGTATGCTGACACTGGCACTAACCTGACAAATAGATGCGCTATATAAGCACCTCTTCTCCAAATCAGATCCCTTGATCAGATGTTGGTCCACATTTGGTAGCCCTGTCTGGCTTCCGTATCAGAACATAAGTTAGACATCCGAAAGCTTTGATGTGAGATACGTCGGGTTTTCGGCCGTACCAAAGCTCATATGGAGTCTTGTTCTTTGGTAAAGCAGTGGTGGTTGTTCGGTTAGTCAGGAAGACAGCATTCTTCACGGATTCCAACCAAAACCTAATGGGCAAGTTTGCTTGGATAAGCATTGATCAGCCTTTCGACACGATGGTCCTCATTGAGCGCTCAGCTACGCCGTTCTCTTCTGGTGTGTATGCAGCAGTGATTCTTAAATAAATTCCTGCCTTTTCACAGTACGGCAGTAAGACATCGTTAAGGAATTCATCTCCACCATCTAATGTAAGGCATTTGATTTTTCGATCACATTGACGTTCAACAAGAGATAAATAAGTATGAATAGCACCATAAACCTCTTCTTTCTCTTTTGATTTTAATCCAGTTATGTGACGGTAAGATGTATGATCATCGGTGAACAAAATGAAATACAGGATCCTGCAAATGGCCGGCGTACGCATAATACTGTTTAAGTCAATATGCATGTTATCTAAAGGATGGAGTGATCTGGTACGGGTATTTGAATGCGGTTGACGGTGTGCTTTGGCTAATCACATGAATTTCAAGGAAGGGAAACAGGAAGAACAACTTTTGATATTGATAATGGTAAACCTAGGACAACTTCTCCCTTTATCATTTGTTTCAGATAATTAAAATTCGGCTGACCTAATTTGTGGTGTAAAAGTTGCAGTGATTCAGTAACAGGATCTGAGATTGCTGAAGTACTTGGAGTAGGTGTAGATGTGAGATCACGCACCACATTAAGGTGAAGTAACATAGTGACTGGATGAACTTGTCCAGACATCGCCGTTTTTCCACCTTGTTGGATGACAAAAGAATTATCGGACTTGAGTTCAGTGATCCAACCATCATGTACATAACAATCTTGCTCCTGCTATTAAATTTTGTTTGAGTGATGGAACAAACAGGCATTCGTTAAGAGTAGTAAGATCACCAGTTGGTCCCATAAGTGTGACAGTACCTTGACCTTTGATTTCAAGCGTACTAGATCCACCTGCAAGCCCTACCCGTTGATCAGATGTAGTAGGAATGAAGTTATTTAAGTCAAAGTATTTTTGTGATTTAAACATATGATGTGTGGTTCGGCTATCAACAATTCCAAAATGCATTTTTTCAATGGATGCGTCTTGATCGACTATATATACCGCACTTGCACTTGCTGAAAAGTCTGATCTATCTAACGCTTCTTGGAGTGAAGATAAGGAAGGCATAGAGGTTTCATTTGATGCCGATGAAGTTGACGGAGTAACAGCATTTTGATTGACACTTGACAAAGAAGGAGGACCTCTCTCCACCCATTCACCTTTGGCTTTCTTACCCTCAACCCAGGCATTGTATTTATCAATATTTTTGGGATTGCGGAGACAGTAAGCTTGTGTGTGAGATAGAGAGACACATTTAGCAGGTGTGCATTGGGTTTGGACGAATCTAGAGCGCTTTCGCATTGGGCTTGCTGTGTTTGCTTCAACAATTGTCAAAGGTCTAGGGGCTCAAAGCATTGCACGGTTGGCTATTCTGACCTTGAGAGCTTTTACGACAGATGAGTATTTGAATGTATCACTATTGGCAATATCTTCAGCAACCTTCATCCAATCTTGATTCAAGGACATTAGTAGTTGTTGTCCCAATTCAATAGTGCTGATTTTTCCTCCAGAATTCATATAAGCAATGTAGATTTATGGTATTCATCCATGTGAATGGGAAGTGATTTATCTCCTTGAGTGAGATTAAACAATGCTTGACAAAGTAACATTTGATGAGCAGAAGTCCTTGGAGAGTGGTGATCTCTAACCTTGACCCATAGAGAACTGGGAGTTGGAGAAATATCAGGACCAAGATCGGTTTCAACAGTCATCATTGGTTTGAAGCGATTCTTGTTAGTTTGATCCATTTTTGAGATCATCCATGTCATGAGACATTCTTGTACAACTTCATTGTACAATCATATATCTTCATCAATACCAGATTTGTCTTTATCAGACAATAGAAAAGAATGGTATCTAAGTGATTTGATTCCGTTTTGTATGTCAGTTGACCATGTCAGATAGTTGGTATCATTTAGGATTTCGGAAACCAATACTTTAGATAACGTATTGACGACAGAAGCTGCTATTTGATGATCTCTGCTACCAAACACATTTGACGGAGTGGTAGTGGTGATAGTGGTTGTGGGTGGGATTGATGTGGTCATATTTGGAAATAGACTTTCAAGTTGAAAGGTCTGTTCACCGACTGAGTTATCTGAAACCAATTGGAAATCTTGGTCTTCTGGTACAAAAGATGATGAATGTGAGCTAGTTGGAGAATTGGTGACTTGTTGATTGATAGGTAGTGAGTCTTCTTCGTTCATTCAAAAAAAAGATTGTTTGATCGAACTAGACACTCTTGCTACCATGTAAATGTATGAGAAGACTTCTACAACCTGACAAATAGATGCGCTATATAAGCACCTCTTCTCCAAATCCAAGTGTATGCTGACACTGACACTAACCTACACATGAAACAGAGAAAACAGAAAGCAGAGAAAGGTATAAATGATAAGAAATAAGTTAGACAATATTTGAGTTCTAAATAGGAGATTGTAAGATGAAGTACCTAAGTGTAGGAGGAATGATAGTAAGGAGAGAAAAGTTAATAAGCTACAAGCTTGTGATAATGATCTAAACGGATTCTAGTAGTACCACTTGATTAGTATGTGTGAACTTGTGAGAAAAGATATTAACGGACTTACTCTCTTTCCAAAAGATGAGGAAAGAGAGTCAGAGTAACTTGGGGAACAACATATATCTCTAACAACGAACACAAAATGAAAACATCGGGAAAGAAGTACAATAGAGTCCTTTGGGGCCACAGAACAAAGCACAAGAGAAACTA